TATTTATTTATATTTATATTTATATTTTTACAAAGTTCGTATACATTGTTTACACATGGCATCAAATTGTGTGAGCCTATGATTAATATTCTCCCCCCATCCTCAGCTCTCTGCAAGCCCCTCTCCCCCCACTGGCTCCTCATATTCATTCTACAATAAAGATCTTATAGAATATTTGTCATTATGGACTGAGTTAGTTTACTTAGAATACTGTTCTCCAGTCTCTCCCAACTTAGGTGGTAATTTACAAAATTACTGCCCCTGCATTCTACATAGTATTCCATTTGTGAATTCACCATAATTTCTCAATCCACTCGATTGTGGCTGGACATTTAGGCTGCTTCCATGTTCTTATGATGGTCAGTAATGCTGCTATGAACATTGATGTACAAGTCTCCATTTGTTCCTCAATTCTCATTCTCTTGAGGTATATTCTAAGCAGTGGAATATCTGGATTATGTGGAATTATGTTCAGCTTCTTAAGGAAGCACCAAACTGCCTTCCAAGGTGGCTGTATCATTTTACAATCCCACCAACAATGTATAAGAGTTGCTATCTAGCCACATTTTCTCTGACATTTATTACTTGCTGTCCTATCACCAAAACCAGGCAAAGATGTTACCAAGAAAGAAAATTACAGACCAATATCTCTCATGAGTATAGGTGGAAAAAATCATTAACAAAATCCTGCTAATAGAATCCAAAAACACATTAAAAAAATTAAAAATCCAGCATGACCAAGTGGGATTCATAACAGGTATGCAAGGATGGTTCAACATAAGAAAAACAATATAATTCACCATATAAACAAAGCATATAACAAGAACCATATGATCTTAGCAATTGATGCAGTAAAGGCTTTTGACAAAATTCAATACCCCTTCCTGATAAAGACACTCAGTTAAATTGGAATGTTTGTTGCTGTTAAGTGCCATCGAGTCACAGGTGACTCATAGCGACCCTATGAAGTAGAGTCCTCAATGCTTGGTTGAAATTGGAATAGAAAGAAATTTATTCAACATAGTGGAAAAATATATATGTAAAACCAAGAGCCAATATCATTCTCAATGGAGAAAAACTAAAAGCATTTTCTTGAGAACAGGTACTCAACAAGAATGCCCACTGTCACCAGTTTTATTTAGTAGTCAACTGGAAGTGTTTGATAGGGTAATATGACAGGAGAAGGAAATAAGAGGCATCCAGATCAGCAAAGAAATGGTTAAACTATTGCTATATGCAGAACATTATTCTTAATGGAGAGAGATTAAAGGCATTCCCTTGGTGAACAGCAACTAGACAAGGATGCCTAATATCATCTCTCCTACTCAATATTGTACTACTCTGCCTCCAGGAGCCAGGCAAGCCAGGCTTGGCCTAGGGTTTAAGGCAGCAGAGGGCTCCAAGCCTGAAAGGGCCCTAGGGCCGTCTTTCATTGTTTTTGTTCAGACATTCCTCTAGGTTGTATAGCTCTGGTGTACAAGTTGCCATACTGCCGTCACTTTTGGTTGCTGGGAGGCTGAACACTGTGACACTGATGTATCAAATGTGTTAATGGTTGGCTACCCAGTGCGGACAGATAGTGGGGTGGAGCTCCCTGTTCTGCCCACAAAATGCCCCTCAAAGAAATCTAAAAACACGTCTGAAATGTCAAAAACGTTTATTATATTATTTCCACGCATGGAGACTTTTCTCCTCCCTCAGGAAGGTGGGGAAGGAAAAAAGCTCCGAGTTTCCCCTTCCACTTGCTTTTATAGCTCTTTTGAGTGCCCCTGTTAGGGCAGGGGGTTTGCGATCATGGTTGGTGGGTTGACTTTTGACGGGCTGGCTACTTTGCCCGCCTTTACTTCTTTTGTGTCACATAGACACTAGTTAACTCCTTACTTTTCAAGGACAGACAAGGCTTTACCCGGGGCACTCGTGTTTGCCCTAAGCTAAGAATTTTTATGGCCCGCTTCTGCCTCTAGCGTTAATGGGGGTTTATAAAAAAATGGAGTTTCTGCTGTCCCTTCACTCCCCTAATAAAACAAGTTTGGAAGGAGGAGTGGCATCCACTTCCATAATAGCTTGGCTCCGGGAAGCCTATGAACCTGGAGAGAGGATGAAAGGCCCCAAAGCATTGAGGATTCTCCTTCATAGGATCGCTATGAGTCACCCGCGACTCTACGACTCGATGGCACTTAATGATTCTGATATCATTAGAAGCATGCCAGAACAGACTGGTGAAAAATAAATCATGTAATATTTTTCTTCAATAAAATTGGCCAGAGTTTGTTTTGAAAAAAAAAAAAGAACCACACCTCACACCATAAATAAAACCAATTCAAGGTGGATCATGGACCTAGGAGTAAAACCAAAGATTATAAACTTCTTTATAGAAAAGCTTTGGAAGAACTCTAGAAGCCATAATCCATAGAATGAACAGGTTTTCCAAGCATAATGAAAATCCTACAACTAGGAGAAAACAAAATAGCTGAATGGGTTAAGAATAAAATCTCCGAAATGGTAAAAAGGAAAGCCACAGACTGGGGTGAAAGGAGGGGGGATTTGGTAATGACATATCTGAAAAGAAAAGCATATCTAAAATTTCTAGAATACTACTCTAGAACCTCAACAAGAAAAAAGTAAGCAACTGAATTGCAAAATGGGCATAGGATATGAATAGACACTTTACCAAAATTACATTCAGATGGCAAACAAACACCTGAAGAAATATTAAAATCCCTATATCTCAGAAGGATGTAAATAAAACAAACTATGAGATATCATCTCACTCCAGTAACAACATCAAAGTTCAACAGAGCAGAAAAAACAAATGATGGCGAAGTTGTGAAGAGGTTGGAACAATTATTCCCTGCTGGTGGAAATGTAAAATGGTGCAACCACTATGGAAGGTGGTTTGGCACTTTCTCATAAAGTTGGAAATAGAAATATCATTCGACCCAGCAATTGTACCACTAGGAAAAAGTTTTCTGTCAAGGACCTCCCCAAAGTACTTAAGACCAAAGATGACAGTCAAAAGACCAAGGTATACCTCATCTAAGCCATGATCTTTTCAATTACTTCCTATGCACCTGAAAGTTGGGAAATGAATAAAGATAAAAGAAGAAAAGATGATGTTTTGAATTGAGGTGTTGGAGAAGAGTACCAAGTATCTCATGGACTGCCAAAATAAGCAGTTCTGTCTTGGAGAAAGTGCAACCAAGGTGTTCCGTAGAGGTAGGGATGGTGAAACTTTGTCTCACATACATTGAAAATGTTGTTACGAAAAAGATATCAGACTGAGAAAGGTGGAGAATAAGAGGAAAAGGAAGCCAAGCTGGATTAACACACAGACTATAACAATGATTGTAAGAACTCTGAAGACAAGGCAGGATAGAGCAAGGTTTAGATCTGTTGTTCAAAGGGTCACAATGAGCTGTAGTTGACTCAATGGCACCTAACAACAACACAGAAGGGAATATTTCTAAGTAGGCTTTGTAAGACAGAGGATAGACATAAACAGGCTTCTCTATTGATTTGGAAGCTTTTTAAAATTTTATACTGGTTTATTTAGAAAGTTCATATACATTGTTTTTAACACCGGATCTTTCCCATTTCCTTCATCCTGCCTTCCTCCATCAATTAAATTGTGTGATCCTATGATTAATGCCCCTGCCCCTGCTCATTCTCAGCCCTCTGCTCCCACACTTGATTTTGAGACTTGTTAAATGAGCCAGAAACACAAAAGAAAAGGGGAGGGGGAGGGAAGGAAAGAGGTCCAGCTATATTCTTTGCTGAGTATCTATTCTGCTAATCACTGATTCTCTGAACAATCTGAGTCAATTCCTGTTCAGAGTTCTTAACAGCTCAGATGTCTTCTCTAGTTGTTTTCTCCATCAAACGTTTATATATGAAATGATTCAGAGTTCTCATTCATAGATGCCAAGGTAAAAGTTGTCAGCCCCAAATTCTTCATCCAATTAACTTGTTTCAGGGAAATGAAGAATTTATTTTTTTTTATTTTCCCTTGTGTTTTCTGCTAGAATTCAGTATTTACTTTTTTTTATTTAGCATATATTTGATACTCCACAAACAAGTCCAAATATGAGCTTAAATTGCAAATTGTCTTATTTCCAGTATTCCAATATTTGCTTAGTTTTAGTCTTAAAAGTACACTTTTAAATGGTCAATCTTCTTCCTTTATTCAGATTTGCCCTTTGCACTGGAGATATTTAATTCACAGCTAAAGAAGATATTTCCCTATTGGAGACATTTTATTCCATAGAAAGGTGGATTCTTGTTTCATTAGAAAAAGCCTACCTAATTCTTCGCTTTTAACAATTATCTCAGTAGATTGCAGTTTGCTACCCCAACCCCATAATCACAAAAAAAGAAAAGTCAACTGGTCTCAAGGAAAATACAACCATTCTCACATCTCAAAACCAGAATAAAAAGGGGAAAGATGATGGCTAACCTGAGAAATGAATCCAGAATCCTCACTCCTTTTCTAGAAAATTATCCCAGCTGTTCGCAGTTATCTAGGAGCCAGCATGCAAATTATACTCAACTTATTAAATTTCATGTTACTCCATAGCAGAATTTTATTGGTTCAATGGCTTACTTTTTAATATTTTTGGGACTAACCCCCTCTCCCCATTAACCAACAGTCCAGCTCAAAAATGCATCTTCCTTCATCTTCCAAACTTCGTTGTTTCAGTAGAGGATCTTGACATTGTTTGTCCCTTGGTTGTAGCAGTTGTCATTTTCAGGGATATGGCTGTGTATTACCATATTCATGGAGATATATTTTCTGCTTTTTGAGTCTTACAAGCACCATTTTCTTATTTAGTAGAGGAAGATGAAGTAAAATATTTTCTAGTCTAATCAGATTTTTGTGGTTTGCTGAATGTAACAAGAAATATATTACCAGAAAGGCCACTGAATGTCATTGAAAATGTCTAGGCCAAGGTTTGCTTCTTTTCATTTTTTAAGCAAGATACTGGAGAAAATGCAGGCATACTTGTAGTCTGTTTTCTCACCTCCAACTTTATTTTTAACTCCCTCTCAAACTTACTAAAATTCTCATTGACTTTGGTGCGGAAAATCTGGTGATGACTACCTCTTCTGTTCTGTCAATTCATAATAGAGTGAATACGTAACATTTTACTTTATATACTTGACAGACACCACTCTGCACTAATTTTTCTCATGCCTTATTTTACTCCCTATTAAACTTTTCTCCTGAACTTTTGTAATTTTCCAGGCCAATAAATGTTGGTATACTCCAGGTAATGTTGGTGTTTATGATGCTTTTTTCCTAATAAACTCACTCCTGGAGCGATTCTCATGGTTCTCTTCCTTATATGCCTTCTTTATTGACAGGAGAACCTTACCTTTTCCTTGATCTCTGAACTGATCATAATAAATAATAATGTCTTCCATTCCATGACAGTGTCTTTAAGCTACAGAAGCAAACACTATAGCACCTTTTGTCCTCTGAAACCTAACAGAATGTTTAAATATCAGCAGAGTAAAATATCTTTTACTCTAATTTGGCCCTACTCAGGAGGTCAGTCTGTAAAACTTCATTGTGCTTTACATAGTTAATAACACATACCTCAGTTATATAAACCCTGACATATAAAAATGGCCTGTTGAAGACCTTGTGCACAAGCATAGGCTTGTCACCCAAATGAATAGTCCTACTGGGACCAGTTGGAAAAGGGCAGAAAGTAGGCCCATATTATGTCCCTCACCCAATAGGCCAGTTGAAAAAAATTACAAAAGAGAGAGAAGAAAAGCAACAACAAATAGAAACAATTAGTCTAAAGGACTGATGGATCACATGAACCTCAATCTATATGAGCCTGTTTTTTCCTAACTCATTGAGTTGGAACTGACTTATAACTGGCATTTCATTGAGATGACCCTTGCAGTAGAAAGTCTTGGGCAGAGTTGGGAAAAAAATGTGAAACAAAACTCAAAATACACAGAAAATATTACTGGTATGATAGAGCCTGGTAGAACCCCTAAGATTATATGGCCTTTTGGTCACCCTAGAGTAAAACTTACCCTGTGGCTCAACTATCAGTGAAATCTTAACAAGATTATAAGATGAACAATAACTCCATGGAGGAACTTACACCTTAGAACCATTAACCACTGTGCAAGATTTTAAGAAGGACAGTATTTGCCCAAGGATAAAGATCAGAAGTAAGAAAGGGTTAAGATAAAATATTAATGGAATTGAGACTTAGGGAGAGAAAGCAAGGAGAATGTAGTTATAGAGTGGGCATTGCAATTAATGTAAAACAAGTATGAATGGCTGAATAGAAAATTTGCTCTATAAACTTTCAATCAAAGCACAGAAAAATAGATGATTACCAAAGAAAAATACTCAGCGGTGATGTAAGCAAATCTCTTAGAGAAATTGGAATTTGCATAATGACAAGAAAAACATCCTCCAAAGATTCAGGGGTGGATGGGCATCATGGGTGGGAATGTTAGGGTTTACATTAGAGACAAGAGACACTCTGAAGAGAGGTAGCTGGAACTCTGTGAGGCAAAGGAAGAGTGTCAGAGTCAAGTTCAACAAGGCTGGCCTAATGGTTCAGGTCATATGAGGTGCTAAATGATGTTGAAATTTGTTCTTTCCTAAGTCTACCTAGATGACTTTGGAAGATTTTTGAGTTGTGAAGTAACAAGATTATCATGATTACATTTTAAACATTCTGCCTGCTGTGTGAAAATGGATTGAAAGAAGAAGAATAAAAAGTCCTACTATTTACTGTACCTTATTATTTGCCCAGGTCATAGCGGATATGCTCAGATCCGGGGGGGGAATGTTCATGGAAAAGTTTGAAGAGCTATTTAACAGAACATTCTGGCAAAATGAATGATAAATCTTGAAATGACACAAAATCAAAGTGGATTCCAGATTTTTCCATTTTTCACCAATTTAACTGAAGCAGCCACTTTCAAGATGGGGAAGGTTGGACCAGAAGTTGTTTCAAAAGGTTGGACCAGAAGTTGTTTCAAAACACACACACACACACACACACACACACACACACACACACACACACACACACGACTTAGCTAGATACTGGATACTTCCACAGAAATGAAGGCATCTGAAATGAGAAGAATATATGATGAATTTGCTGTATATCTCCACATTAAAACTAACTTTTAGACAGCCAAGAGGTTATTAGAAAATGGAAACTAGTCATAGCAATTGCTCTATAAACATCATATTCTTCTAATCAAAGTCTGAACACACACATATTGGCACTTTGGAAGCAGTTTTTATTTCTTGTCAAAGCAAGTAAACAGCATACAACACTCCACTTTGAGTTATGGGCCAATATGCCAGTATCCCTTGCTTCTGGAAACTTCCTTATGTTCATTTTCAGAGTTCTTTTGTTACTATAGTGGAACTGCACTAATTTTTGTAGGATGATTTTTACCCTGCCACTTAATTGAGCTTTTCAATTTGTTCTAGTAATTTTATTCCTGAGCTTTTAGTATTTTCTGCACATAAGGTCATATCATCTTCAAATAGAGATAATTTTACTCCTCCTTGTTGTTGTTGTTGTTGTTGTTGTTGTGTGCCATTGAGTCGGAATTGACCATCACTGACCTTCTAGCAGAGTTTTAGAGAGAGTTACTCACACAGGAGGAGATTGTCTATCTTTCTCTTGCAGGACAGCGGATAGATTCTAATTGTGTGCCTTAGGATTGCAGAGAAGCTTCTTACCACTAGGACACCAGGGTATGTTCCTTTTATTTCTTAGCTTATTAAAGCAGTAATGATAAAGGGCATCCTTGTTTGGTTCATATTGGCAATGGGATGCTTTCTCTTCACTGAGGCAACACCAGCTATTGATTTTGCATTTATATTCTTAATGATGTTGAGACATTTCCCTTCTGTTTGTATTTCGTTAATTGTTCTCATCAAGAATTGGCATTGAGTTTTGTCCAATGCCTTTTTTTGTTTGATTGAGAGGACCACACACAGAAGAAACTGTAGCACCAGTGATATCATTGCTGGTGTCAGATGGATTCTACCTAAATGCTTCGAATATACAAGAAGAAGGTCAATTTGTGTTTTACTGACCATTCAAAGGCTTTTGACTGTGTGGATTATAACAAATTATGGCTAATATTGAGAAGAATGGGAATCCCATGAAATCTAATTGTGCTCATATGAAACCTATACCTAGACCAAGAAGCTCTTTTCCAAATAAAGTAAGGAACCATGATTTTAAAAATGATTTAAAATTAAGGAAGATGTGTATGTTGTGGTTTCTTTTCTAGTTCTTAATAGCATTTTGTAATTATCCATTTTATTCCAATTGGTTTTGTCATTTGTTTAATTTTTATCTATTTTATTTGTGGGGTTAGATTTGTTAGATTTGCTAGTGGTATGACAATTTTGTAAATCCTTTCAAAGAAACAATTTCCAGTCTTACTCATACTTTCTATAATTTTTCTGTTTCATCCTATTTCTGTACTAATACTTTTTTTCTTTTCTTTCTTCTAAAATATGCAGAATTTCTTAGCTGCTATTTTCTAATGGTTGGAGATAATATATTAAGAAGAATACAATATCTTAGTTGTTGTTGTTTTTTTCCTTTTGGTATCTGCATTTATTGTACATACGGTTTCCAGAGACCTGCTATCTCAGAAGTGGATGGCCAGTCCTTCTTCCTAGTCTGTCTTAATCTGAATGTTTAGATTTTAGAGGAGTATCTGACAGACAAGCAATATGTGGAACAGTGAAAGATAAATCCCTCACTGTGGAGTGTCCTTGCCCTTAGCCCAGTGTCTTGACCCACTTATTTCCCAGCTCCACCCTTCACCAGGATACCCATTCACTTCTACCAAATCCCTTCAGAATTTATCTTCCATTGTCTGACCCATGATCTGACAGCTTGTATCTGAAGCTTTCTTGGCTTCTGTGATTCCGAACATGTCGACTACATGCTTTAGGCAGAATATTAAATGATCCAGGAGGTATTAAAAGACGATGGAAGGAATATACTGAGTTATTGTATCTAAAGGAATTGGCAGATACAGAAGAATTTAATGAAATAACATTTGAGAAAGAGCCTATGGTGATGAAGAAAGAAGTTCAAGCTGCTTTGAAGGAAATACCAAACAATAAGGCCCCAGGAATAGATAGTATACCAATTGACATATACCAAAAAATAAGGCCCCAGGAATAGATAGTATACCAATTGACATATTTCAGCTAACAGATGCTGCCCTGGATGTGCTCACCAAGTTGTGCCAAAAAATCTGGAGAAAAATCACTTGGCCAACTGACTGGAAGAGATCTATATTTGTTCCCATTCCAAAGGAGGGTGACCCAACAGAGTGTGGAAACTACAGAACAATATCATTGATTTCACATGCAAGCAAGATTCTACTGAAGATTATCCAAAAACGACTGGAACTGCACATCAGCAGAGAAGTGCCAGAAGTCCAGGCTGGGTTTAAAAGGGGTCGTGGTACTAGGGATATTGTAGCTAATGTTAGATGGATCTTAGCGGAAAGCAGGGAATACCAGAAGAATGTCTATCTGTGTTTCATTGATTAAGCAAAGGCATTTGACTGTGTGGATCATAACAAACTGTGGCTGACTCTGAGAAGAATGGGAAACCCAGAACATTTAATCATGCTAATGCAAAACCTATACTTGGACCAAGAGGCAGTTGTCAGAACAGAGCAGGGTAACACCGCGTGTTTCAAAATTGGGAAGGGTGTATGCCAGGGATGTGTCGTATCTCCATACCTTTTCAACCTGTATGCAGAGCAGATTATCTGAGAGGCTGGGCTCTATGAGGAGAAGTGTGGCATCAGGATTGGTGGAAGATCTATTAACAATCTGTGTTATGCAGATGACACAACCCTGCTTGCCGAAACTGAGGAGGGCCTCATGCACTTGCTGCAGAGGGTCAAGGACTTCAGCCTTCAGTATGGACTGAGGCTCAATTTCAAGAAGACAAAGATTCTCATCACTGGACCAATCAGTAGCATCAGGATGGATGGCGAGGAGATTGAGATTGTTCACAGCTTCAGTTTGCTCGGCTCCACAGTCAACACTCTTGGCACCAGCAGCCAGGAAATAAAAAAAAGTATCGCAATGGGAAAGTCTGCTGTTAGGGACCTCTCTAAAGCACTCAAGAGCAACAGTGTCTCTCTGGAGACTAAGGAGCACCTGATACATACAGTCCATGGTCTTTGCAATCACTTGTTATGCATCAGAGAGTTGGACAATGACTAGGGAGGACAGAAGGAGAATTGATGCCTTTGAGCTGTGGTGCTGGAGAAGAGTATTGAATGTACCCTGGACTGCCAAGGAAGCAAATAGATTCATCCCGGAGAGGGTTAAACCAGGCTACTCCTTGGAGGCAAGGATTCTGGGGCTTCGTCTGACATACTTTGGACATGTTGTAAGGTGAGGCAGGTCCTTAGACAGGGACATCATGCTTGGGAGGGTGGCGAGACAGTGCAGGAGGGGAAGACCCTCTATGAGGTGGATGGGTGTGTCAGAGGCAATGTGATTGGCACAGGATAGAGCAGGGTTTAGGGCTGTTGTACATAGGGTCTCTATGAGTCGCAAACAACTCGACGGCATATAACAACAACATCTGGATTTATTACTGTTAATCATCCTCTAAGGACTACTTTTCCTGTGTCCCAAAGGCTTTAGTATGTTTACATCTTCCTTTGATTATATTTTTATTTCTTCTCATGCCAAGTAGTTTTTAATCATTGTTTTATTTAATATCCATGAACTTTACTTTGTTTATCTAATCTCTCTAATTTTATAGCATTGTGACCTGAGAAAATGTTTTGTAGGAAGGATAATGTTCTGACAACATCAGGGCCTGAAATTGTTTTGGTTGAGGGTAAGTGATAGAGAAGAAGACCTTCAATGAGATAGTTTGACACAGTGGCTGAAACCATGGACATAAGCACAAGGGAGATTGTGAGAATGACTCCCTACAAGAGGCCCCTGCCAGGGACAGTTGTTGCCAACTAAAAGGAGGTGGTCCAGGACAGAGACTCCTAGAGATGATGTCTCTGTTAACCCAAGTTATAGCTATTTGGCACATGTCAGGGACGGTGCATAAAGTTACTCTGATGAGTGTCAGAGAAGAATTGTTTTCCAAAGACTTTTCAATGCCTGATTTTTCCACAGTAGATCACCAAGTCTATCTTCTGAGGAGTCTCTGAGTAGACTAGAACTTCCAATCTTTCAGTTAGCAGCTGAACTTGTCAACTCATTGTAGTGTGAATGGATATATCTGTACCATGTATATGTCTGTACCTAGCAAAATATTGCTGCTGTTGTCATGTACCATCAAGTCAGAACCAACTCATAGCCGACCCTCCAGCAGGTTTTCAGAGATTATAAATTGCTTGAGAGGAGACTGCCCATCTTTTTCTCACAGATCTGTTGTTTGTTGGGTTCAAACTGGATGCCTTTGGATTGATGCCATGACTCCTTAAGAGGAAGCCACCAAGAGAAGACTGTAACAATTTTATCACATGGCTATATTTTTTATTGATGACCTGAAGGAATAAGTATAATGACTTTCTTGTATAACTTATCCATGGTGTAAAAAAGGACCTTGATTTAAAAAATGTATATATTAAATTCATTTACTTATTTCTCTGAAATGTTGAAAAGTTTATATGTCCTCTCAGAACAAGGACTTACTAATGACATTTGTGTGTACTTTCTTTCTCTACAAAACTTAGTTGTTGTTTTTGTTGATTGCCTTCGAGTTGAACATGACTCATAGCAACCCTATGAACAAAAGGCCTGAAGTCCCTCTACAATTATTGACATTTTTCAAAGTTCATAGAGTTGCCAGAGGCATTTTGTTTAGGAAGTGGATGCCACTCCTGCTTCTAAACCTATCCTAGAATGTTAATGAGCCAATAATAAAACTTAGTGCAAAATAGAAAGTTCAGAGAATTGGGTATGGTTCTCCTTATTGAAGTGAAGTATGTGCAATCTAGGCTAAGATATTGAGAGGTATCCTAAGTTTAAAGAAGAAGCTAGCATAAGGATCCAAGGGGTCAATCCTTTTCCTTCTCAGATGATTGGTTGTTCTTTTTTCTCCCTAACATGATATAAACATGCAATGTGTCTGGATTTTAAATGTGGATTTATTTAAACTCTATTCCTCTCTGCACTAGGTATTTAATGACCCAACAAGCAACCATGAGATGGAAATCTTTATTCTAAGATTTCTGGACAGGTTTTTTTTTTCTTTATACTCTCAACGTTACTTCTCTGTGTTGTACACTATTAGGACTGGAGAGCCTTTTCCTTCCTCTCCCAGAATGGTTACTAAGAGAATCCAATTACAGGAAACATCAGCTGTGCTTTTTCTTTCTGAGAAACTACCCTGCCCCTCTTTTCCCAGGAATGGTTATCTCAGATCCCAAACCACTTCCCTATCTTGAAGGAAGCATCTATAAGCATCCCCTTTCCTAAGTCCCTTGTAAGAAAGTATAAAATCCCCCTCCAACTCTCAGTGGGGGCTGTTCTTCTGCTTGAGAGCCAGCCAGCAGTTTCTCCTCAAAAAACTGTCTGTCTTGGCCTGCACTGGGTTCTGCTCTTCCTTGGTGACCTTACATACACTTATTGTCTAGTTGAAAGTTTTTAAATGTCAACATTTTAAGGTTTGCCAATTTGGAAGAAACTGGACAAGCCAATTCCTTGTTAAGTTGTCTCAGGGAAAAATCAGAAAGATTTTCAGTTTAAAAAAGAAGTTTTGAGAAGAAGCTAGCATAAGGATTGTTGTTGTTGTTGTTGTTGTTAAGTGCCATCGAGTCACAGGAGACTCATAGCGACCCTATGAAGGAGAGTCCTCGATGCTTGGGTGTCTTTCATCCTCTCTCCAGGTTCATAGGTTTCCGGAGGCAAGCTATTATGGAAGTGGATTCCACTCCTCCTTCCACCCTCCACCCCACTCTGTCCGCATCATTAACGCATTTGACACATCCGTGTCACAGGGTTCAGCCTCACAGCAACCACAAGTGACCACAGGACGGCAACTTGTACACCAGGGCTATACGACCTAGAGGAATGTCTGAACAAAAACAATGAAAGACTGGCCTGAGGGCAGCGGATTAAAACACCCAAGCATCGAGGACTCTCCTTCATAGGGTCGCTATGAGTCGCCTGCGACTCAATGGCACTTAACAACAATAACATCAACAGAGAGAGAAAGAGAGAGAGAGCATAAGGATACCAGGGGTCAATCCTTTTCCTTCTCAGATGATTGGGTGATCTTTTCCCCCCTAACAAGTAACATGATATAAACACACAATGTCTCTGGATTTTAAATGTTAATTTATTTAAACTCTCTTCCTCTCTGCATTGCTTTCAGAAAGAGCCAGAAGTTAAAAATTGGAAACAATTACACTGTCTGGGGAAATAAAGGGAGAGAATAAATGCAGACATGGAACAGCTCACCTAAAAGCAAGACATTCTATTCCATCATGGCCAAATACTAATGACTACCTGGGTTTGACTGTGTGATTAAAAGAGGGAGTAAGGCAAATCTGATCTTTCAATGTCAGCCTTGTTCGCTGAAACTGAGGAGGACCTCATGCACTTACTGCAGAGGGTCAAGGACTGCAGCCTTCAGTATGGACTGAGGCTCAATGTCAAGAAG